ACCCTGAAAAAGTATTCTTTAAAAAATCCACGCCTATAGTAGACCATGAAAAAGTATTCTTTAAAAATCCACGCCTATAGTAGACCCTGAAAAAGTATTCTTTAAAAAATCCACGCCTATAGTAGACCCTGAAAAAGTATTCTTTAAAAAATCCACGCCTATAGTAGACCCTGAAAAAGTATTCTTTAAAAAATCCACGCCTATAGTAGACCCTGAAAAAGTATTCTTTAAAAAATCCACGCCTATAGTAGACCCTGAAAAAGTATTCTTTAAAAAATCCACGCCTATAGTAGACCCTGAAAAAGTATTCTTTAAAAAATCCACGCCTATAGTAGACCCTGAAAAATATGTTTTAAAATATCCACGCCTATAGTAGACCCTGAAAAATATGTTTTAAAATATCCACGCCTATAGTAGACCCTGAAAAATATGTTTTAAAATATCCACGCCTATAGTAGACCCTGAAAAAGTATTCTTTAAAAAATCCACGCCTTAACAGGACCTAAAAAAACTATTCTTAAAAAAAAACCACGCCTCTAACATCTTCCTTAGCCTTGAATAAATAGTCTTTAAAAAATCCACGCCTTAATAGGACCTCAAAAAAATCCACGCCTTAATAGGACCTCAAAAAAATCCACGCCTTAATAGGACCTCAAAAAAATCCACGCCTATAGTAGACCCTGAAAAAGTATTCTTTAAAACATCCACGCCTATAGTAGACCCTGAAAAAGTATTCTTTAAAAATTCCACGCCTATAGTAGACCCTGAAAAAGTATTCTTTAAAAATTCCACGCCTATAGTAGACCCTGAAAAAGTATTCTTTAAAAAATCTACGCCTATAGTAGACACTGAAAAAATAGTCTTTAAAAAATCCACTCCTTAAGAGGACCTTAAAAATATTCTTTAAAAAATCCAAGCCCTAAGAGGACCTTAAAAAAGTATTCTTTAAAAAATCCACTCCTTAGACACTGAAAAAATAGTCTTTAAAAAATCCACTCCTTAAGAGGACCTTAAAAATATTCTTTAAAAAATCCAAGCCCTAAGAGGACCTTAAAAAAGTATTCTTTAAAAAATCCACTCCTTAAGAGGACCTTAAAAATATTCTTTAAAAAAACACGCCTCTAACTGAGCCTTGAAAAAATATTCTTTAAAAATCTACGCATCTTCCTTAGCCTTGAAAAAATAGTTTTTAAAAATCCACGCCTCCATCTGAGCCTTGAAAATATATTCTTGAAAAAATTCACGCCTATAGTAGACCCTGAAAAAATATTATTTAAAAAATACACGATGTGCTACCATTCCTCTCCCTAGTATATCCTGATAGCCTCCGTATTTATATTTCACACATTTCAGTTTTCGATTTTAATTAATTTTCATTTTCATCCTCTGACTGCATTTTACAATTTTATCTTGGAAAACCACAATCTATATATATACATACATAAGTATATATATGTGTGTATATACATATATGTAGTATGCTTTTAAAGCACGTAGCTATCCCGCACATTACCTTCTCGGCATTTTTGTTATTAATCTTTTGATTAAAGACACATTTAGTGAACGAAGGAAAGACATAAATGAATCAGTCCATAGATCGGTTGGCAGCCAACCCTGGTATCCATGGTATGTCATCCGGTTTCTTATAAAGCATTTATTTTTTCTTCTTGGTTTCATCAGAATCAATTAGCTGTGCAGGAAATTCAATTGACTGCCAAAAATGCTGCTGCCGACAAACTGATACTGATTGTCAGTGCCGAAAGTGAAAAGGTGAAATATGAAAAACATATCGCCTCCGAGGAAGAGAAGCGAGTACGAATCATAGAAGAGGATGTTTGTATTAAAACGAAAATGTGTGAAGAAGATTTACGTAAGGCTGAACCGGCCTTGGTAGCGGCCCAGGCAGCTCTAAACACCTTGAATAAAAATAATCTAACGGAGTTGAAATCATTTGGTTCGCCACCCAAGGCCGTGGTTAATGTTTGTGCTGCGGTTATGGTGCTCTTTGCCAATAATGGTAAAATACCGCGGGATCGTAGCTGGAAGGCTGCTAAATTGATGATGGTGCGGGTCGATCAATTCCTCAACGATTTGGTCAATTACAACAAAGATAATATACATCCGAATATCATTGAGGTCCTGCAGGGGTATTTGAAGGTAACAACCAAGACACTTCTCTTTTTTTATTATAAACACCCCTTCTTCGCATTTTTTTTTTTTTTAATTTTAGGATCCTGAATTCAATCCCGATAAAATTGTACAAAAATCTGTGGCCGCTGCTGGTCTTTGCGCCTGGGTCATTAACATCCATCGTTATCATCAAGTTTTCTTGGTCGTTGGTCCAAAACAACAGGCTCTCAAAGATTCTCAAAATGAATTGGCAGAGGCGAGGCAACGTTTGGATTACTTGAAGCAGAAAATTAATGATTTAGAACGAAAGCTCAGCGAAATTCAATCGGAATTTGAAGATGCCGTCGCCTCGAAACAAAAATGCCAACAGGAGGCGGATAAGACGACATTCACCATAGATTTGGCCCATCGCTTGGTTAATGGGTTGGCGAATGAAAATGAACGTTGGAGGGAGTCGATTCAAAGGTATGGAGAACTGATGTATTTGTACGGATATCCCTTAAAAATATATTTATGATCCCACCCAGCTTTAACAAATACCTCTATAACCTCAAGGTGTTCCCTGTGAATCGAACATTATGAAAAATTTATATTGCATTTTCTATAAAATCTCCAATATTTTGGAGTACTAGACGAACTTCAATCATTTCTATGTTTACATTATATGGGGAGGAGAGGACAAGCCTTATTATGTTCATTTCTCTACATACAACATTCCGGGTTGATTGAGTTAAATTATGTTCCGGCTAAAGGTACTTCCCTTTTCGTTTTTTTATTTCGTTCGATATGTCGGAGAAAAAGGTCAGAGTCTCAATCTCGCATCTTCCGACATCTCCTGCTATTAACATTGGTTATCTACAGAGTAAATACATATTTGATCTTCTTGCATAGAGGACATTGGATTACTGTCGTCTATGATTTCTCACTTGGAAATGATAAAATCAATTCAGCTGAGACCTGCCTTGATCCCAAAAGTTAGTTTCTTATCGATGGCATAGATAGGTTACTCACGCCACCTATATCTTTTTTAAATGTCCCTCTTGAAGATTCTGTCAATTTAAAAACTAAGAGGTATTTTAACAGTAACTCCAACTGATCGTTTGGGAACATCCCGAATAAGCTCGGATTTTTTCTATATAGTACTATCACAACATAGCCGTATTTTAGAGGTGCTTCTAAAGGCGCCAGAAATAAGCACCGATACAAATCTTTGTACACCGTATCGTTAAGACAATGGGGTATGTTTAGAAATACATGGTGTGTTTTACACACACACTTCCCCTCAGAAGTTAACCACTTTCCTGTTTCTCACGTGGAATGAAATTTTCAAACTTCTGCACAAAAAAAATAAACGTCAACGTGATACTCTGCAGAAATAGCGTTTCTAATTTGACGTTCTTAAACGTTCCCTCTAGCTAGAATGCTACCTACCTCGGCATTTGTAAGGGGTGCTTCTAAAGGCGCCAGAAATAAGGACCGATACAAATCTTTGCACACCGTATCGTTAAGACAATCGGGTATGTTCTGCAATACATAGTGCGTTTTTTACACTTTACACATACACTTCCCCCCAAAAGTGAACTACTTTCCTGCTTCTCACATAAAATTAGATTTTCGAACTTCTGCACAACAAAAAAGTAAACGTTAAAGTGGTACTCTGCAGAAATAGGATGGATATAGGTTGGATGCTTTTGTAAAATTTGAACACTACATTTGCAATCGCACATTGGTGGCCGAGTCTCTGCAATCCGAAAATTGAATGTCTGATAAATTGATATCTGGTACGAGTACACATTTTCCCTATTGCGAAAAAAATTACGACAAAAATCATTTCGAAGGGGGTTTCCATATTGGGCCGGACTGAAATTTGTATACTCTCTACCATGTGGTGTGCATTCAAAGTTCGTTAAATTGATCGTAACCTGTATGTGGCGACATTGTTATTGTATTATATGATAGTAGGTTAATGCTCTGATAAAAATTATATTCCAACTAATACTCATGTTTGGAAAACTGGGGTCGGATCTTCATCATACCGAAAATTAAACGGCACAAGTGTATGGAGACTTTTTTCTGGGAAGAAGTTTTTTATTCACCAGAAGACCGATATGACAAATTATAGGCTATTCAATATGAAAATTCGTAGCAAATATATTAATACCGAAATTAGGACGGGTACTTTATGTGGACACATAGACCTATATATACAATATTCATCAATATAATATTTCGGAAAACCTTATGCGCTATACCATATATTCTCGGACATCGACGTAGTCAGACGTATCGAGCTGCAGCGACTACGTTGGCTAGGCCATGTTGTGAGATTGGATGAAGATGTCCCAGCTCAAAAGCCATATAAAAGCTAGCCAAGTGATGGTTCACGTAGAAGGAGAAGGTCACGAATCCGATAGAAAGATCAAGTAGAAGACAACATCTCGGAAAATGATCTTTCAAATTGGATGAGATGCGCACAAGACCGACGCGCATGGAAATCTTTTTTAAGCTCGGCTTATGGGGCAACCGTTCTGTCACAAGCCAGCTAAGTAAATGTAAGTATTACAAGTACTACAATGGGAAAGTGCTTCAAATTCCTTCAAAATATTGACAATGAGGAGCTATGTCATGGGGCTATGCCAAAACATGGGCCCATATCGATAATTTTATGTTTATATTTATATCACCCTTAAAGAACCCGCTATAACAAATTACATCGACATCAGTGTGAAAGTGGGAAAATACAACCTTAAAAATACCAACATATTGATAATTTTCGGTAGGAAGATTTGATGAATTTGATGAAAGATGAAAAACTGAAAAAACGAACGGACGGACATGCCTAAACAGACATAGAATTTTATTCTCATGACAATTCTTATGAGAACTTGGAATACCACTTCGGTAAGAAAACTCAGACAAGACCTTGAAACTACAAAAAGACGACGAACCTTAATGGGATCCATTTTGCAAAGAATATCTGTCACTTATTGAGTATACTAAATGAAACATTTCAGCCTATTAGGTTGAAAACTTCGGTTAGGACATTTGTGGTCTATTGAGAGTATGTTTACCCTCAAAGAACCCTCAATTCTAAATTCCCGCTAATTCGGTTTGAAAACACAGCTAGAAACTTTCAATAACTAAGATCAGGTGAGACCTTTATATGGGACGACGACAACAACAACAGCCAGACTATGGACAAATGACACGTGTATGCAGTTCGTGAAGTCCACCCACGACCAATAGCAGCAAAATAACGTTTGCTGCCCAGCCAGACGAGAGTGGTTTCAGGATAGTGCAGCCACCTTAATTCGTTTTCAGCTCGAATGGCAGCATGATACCAGACACATGCTCTGTATGACAATTAGGACCTCACGATATGCTGCAAAGTTTCAATTGCCCAGCCAAACCCACTCGTAGCTTGTTGAACGGGGCCGATCCAAATTGTAAATTTGTATACCCTTCACTCCACTGTGTTACAGGGTATTATATTTTTGTGCGTATGTTTGTAACAGGCAAAAGGAAACGTGCTAGAACCATGGTTCCTTTCTGAGTCGATTAATGCATGTCCGTCTGTCTGTCCATCTTAAATTGTAAACAAAGGACACGTCGCATTTGTGATCCGATTTGCATGAGATTTGGCGCAGCTCATTTATTTGGCCCAAGGACGACCCCTATTGAAATTGGGAAAACCTCGGTTCAGAGTTAGATATAGCTCCCATATATAAATATAAAGAGTGCGGCAAAGACCCAAAGTCAAGCAGATTGGCACAACATTTTACACAACGTATTAAAGTTGGTATAGCTCGAAGTGTTCCATGTTTTGTTGAAATCGGTTAAGATTTATATATAGCGGCCATATATATTTTCGTCCGTTTTTAAGTGAATGTTGCACAAAAGAACCAAAGTTAAGCCGATTGGCACAAAAAATTTCACAACGTACTGCAGTTAGTGTAGTCAAATTTTGTTGAAATCAGTTCCGATTTGGATATAGCTTTCATATATATTTTCGTCCGATTTTAAGTTAATTATGCACCAAAGACCCAAAATATTGCCGATAGGAGCAAAACGTACTGAAAGTAGTATAACCTATCCTGTGACAATATTCGTTGAAATCGGTTCATATATATATATATATATATTGGTCCGATTTTAAGTACACTTGATCTAAGCTCGCATGTTATTTTAAAATAAATATTTAGTACAATTTTGGCCATTTTGTGGGGGACTTACCAGAAGGAGTGGACCGATATTTCCAATCTTGAATTAATTTCGGAAGTAATATTAAGATGTACAAAGTTAGGATGATATCGGTTACTTCCTTCGAGAGTTATCGTGCGCACCACACAGTCAAACGGACATTTGCAAATCGACTCCAAATTTTCTGAAATGAATTGTGTCCATAGAAACATATACAGATGAGACCTCAGAAATAACCCAAAGTTATTAATTATGGAAAGCATTTCCCCGAGCACATCTTTAACGTATTGGAAACCCAAAATTGCAAATGAAAGTTCCTTATGACGGAAAATACCGCTGAACGGTAAAAATATAATATGAGGATTTTTAAAGTCTGCGAATTATTGGCGACAAAGGACCCTTATATATGTTCTCTATAGATATTTTTTGCGAGTACTTATGTTACCCAGTCAACACACAAAATTGCCCACCTACAGCCTATTCGGTTGAAAATGCTACAGACATTTTGAATATACTTAAAATGGAACAGGCCCCTTATATGTCGACGATGTCAAAATACGGACCTATATCGACAATTTTGTGAGTCTACTTACCATCTTATCATGTATCATCACCATTTAATTTCCTAACCAAACACTTAACAAAATGTTTAAAGTCATCACCATTTTCTACGTCCGTTCTAACATTTCCTTTTGAACACCCCAAAAACTCCCCCTTGTTTCATTTTATTTACCAAAATTGCCATGTAGTTGTTTTTGTTGTTGTTGATGCTGCTGTTATTTAACCATGTTCAAATATTGAACAATTGGTACCCATTTGCCACAATTGTCATTTGTTAGCACTTCTGGTGCACAGCGCCATTGCCGGAAACTATGAACACTTAAGTTTATTGGAAAAAGCTAACATCATTTCTGGGAGGGAAAGGGATTGGAATTTTGCTGTTCTTGTTCGCCCTAAAAACCATGAAATATATGATTTCATTTTTCTATTTCCTGCTTTGTTTTCAAAATGTTACAACATTGACTGTCAATATGAACTGTCAACTGCTTTCAAACAACATCTTCGACTATAAAAATGACTTCCATAATCCTTGGCGGGTGGTCGTGATGCTTTCTTGTTCGATGGATGACTGGCTGTTTGGTTGGTTGTTTGTTTGGCTGTCGTCGGAATTGTATACCTTATCCCTGATGACCCAAAACACAAAAAGTTTACAATCAAAAAGTGCTACACTACCTGGTGATATCCTGCTAATTTCCTCTTTTCTATCGTATGCTGGTTGTTTTACACGTCGTTATCGTGAGGAGCTGCAACAGCAAATGTGGCTGCCAAGCTTTCGACGGATAGAGGTAAGTGAAAGTTTTTCCCTTTTGGTTCTTACTAGATTTTTATGTCCTGATTGAATTGAGTGTGTAAACATTTGATTATAGCCAGCCATTCCGCACACGGATGGTGTGGACTATTTGGCCTTGTTTACGGATGATGCACAAATTGCCACCTGGAATAATGAAGGTTTGCCCATGGATCGTATGTCCACAGAGAATGCCACAATATTGGTACATTCAACGCGATGGCCGCTGATGATTGATCCGCAATTGTAAGCAGATTTTATGTCATAATCCACGAAAAATATTTTTTTTTAATCCACGTCTTAGCATTCTGACCGAACTTAACGAAGGTTTTTTACTTCCTAGACAGGGCATCAAATGGATCAAAAATCGTTATGGCGACAAGTTGGTGGTCCTGCGTCTCAGCCAAAAACATTTCCTTGAGACCCTTGAAAAGGCAATGGGAAATGGTGATACGGTACTCCTTGAACAAATTGAGGAATCTGTGGATACCGTACTCGAACCTCTGTTAAGTCGGGCTTTAATCAAACGTGGACGCTTTATACGCCTGGGCGACAAAGAATTGGACTTCAATCCAAATTTCCGATTAATCCTACACACCAAATTGGCAAATCCCCACTATAAACCTGAAATGCAGGCCCAGACCACACTGATTAATTTCACCGTTACCCAAGATGGCCTAGAGGAGCAACTACTGGCAGAAGTGGTAAAAATCGAAAGACCCGATTTGGAAGAAATGAAAACCAATGTTACGATACAGCAGAATAAATTCAAAATTTCCCTAAAACATTTGGAAAATGACCTCTTGGCCCGCTTAGCCTCAGCTGGAGAAAATGTCCTCGATGATCATGAGCTAGTTTCCAATTTGGAATCCACGAAGCAGACAGTTGACGAAATTGAAGTGAAGGTGAATGAGGCTCGCATTACCACCCTACAAATAGATGAAGCTCGTAATATGTATCGAACGGCTGCGAAGCGGGCATCCATCCTCTATTTTGTACTCTCCGATTTGAGTCGCATAAATCCGATTTATCGTTTCTCCTTGAAATCATTTATGCAGGTTTTCAAACAGGCCATAATCTCAGCACCAACACACCGGGTGAATGAACGGAGGGTTGCTGCCCTCGTCGAAGCCATAACCTCACAAACCTTTTATTTTGCTTTGCGGGGGCTCTTCGAGGTCGACAAGTTGACATTTACCGCCCACATGACCTTGAGAATAATGTCAGCTTCAGAACAAATTTCCCGTGATGAATTGGATTTTTTGTTACGATTTCCTCATGATCCGAACACTTTGTCGCCTGTGGATTTTGTTGGACGTACTGCCTGGGGTGGTATAAAGTCGCTGGCATTGATGGATAATTTCTATGGCATTGATAAGGATATTGAAAATTACCCGAAGCGTTGGAGAAAATTTGTGGCAAGTGATTTGCCGGAATGTGAGCAGTTCCCAGGGGAATGGAAGCACAGGACACCATTGCAAAAATTGTGTATTATAAGGGCTCTGAGGCCGGATCGTGTTACGAGTGCAATAAGGTAAGTAAGGCCATCTAAGTCTATCGGATTCTACCTTTAAAAAACAGGACCTTTCCACGCCTCTAATAGACCTTGAAAAAAATATTCTTTAAAACTCCTCTCTTTTCCTTCCAGACTCTTCGTGGAACAGACCATGGGTCGGCAGTATTCCAGTGTCAAGACATTCCAATTCTCCGACATCTTCAACGAAGTTACTGCAGCTACTCCTATATTTTTCGTGCTCTGCCCGGGAGTCGACCCCATTTACGATGTTGAACGTTTAGGCCAGCAAATGGGCTTCACTTCGAACAACAATAACTTATTAAATATTTCCCTGGGCCAGGGCCAAGAAATGTTAGCCGAACAGGCTCTGCAGCAAGCCCTTACCTCCGGCAATCAATGGGTGGTATTTCAAAATATCCACCTGGTTGCGAATTGGTTACCCACCCTGGAGAAACTTATCGAACGTCTTACCAATCAACCGGAAAGTTTCCTTAACAGCAATTTCCGACTATTTATTAGTGCCGAGCCTGCACCAGATCCACAATATCACATAATTCCGCAGGGCATTTTGGAATCCTCCTTGAAAATTGTCAATGAACCTCCTTCCGGAATGGCAGCCAATATGCATCAGGCTTGGGATAACTTCTCCCAGGAAACCTTGGAAAGCTGTACCCAGGAGGCGGAATTTAAATCTATATTATTTGCCCTCTGTTATTTCCATGCAGTGGCGGGCCAGCGAAGGAAATTTGGCCCACTTGGTTGGAATAAGGTGTACCCTTTCAATGTCGGCGATTTGACAATATCTGCCTCAGTACTCCACAATTACTTGGAGGGCAGTAATCGTATACCTTGGGAAGATTTGCGTTATCTATTCGGTGAAATAATGTATGGAGGTCATATTACCGATGATTGGGATCGTCGTTTATGTCAAACATATTTGGCTGAATTGTTGCAGCAGGATTTAGTTGATGGGGATTTAGAGCTCTGCCCCGGGTTTCCTTCACCACCCAATTTGGATTTTCAAGGTTATCACAAATACATCAATGAAATGTTACCCGATGAATCGCCCCTACTCTATGGTCTTCATCCAAATGCAGAAATTGGCTTCCTCACCAGTGCCTCGGAACAATTACTGAAAACAGTTTTCGAACTACAGCCTCGACAATCGGAACTCACCACAACCTGCAGTGCTCCCCGTGAGGAACTGGTGAAAATAATGGCTGAAGATTTTCTGGATAAGCTGCAAGTGGAATTTAATTTGCATGCCCTTCTCAATCGCATTGAACGTAAAACCCCCTTCGTAGTGGTGGCCCTGCAAGAATGCGAACGCATGAATGCTTTAATTCAAGAAATAAAGAGATCCCTGCGTGAATTGATGTTGGGACTGAAGGGTGAATTAACTATTACTACGGATATGGAACATTTAGATCATTCTTTGTTCTATGATCATGTGCCCGAGTCATGGACTAATTTAGCCTATCCCAGTATGTTGGGCCTGCAAAGTTGGTTTGCCGATCTACTACATCGTATTAAAGAACTGTCATTGTGGTTGAATGATTTTAAATTACCCTGCACCATATGGTTGGGTGGGCTGTTTAATCCGCAGAGTTTTTTAACGGCCATTATGCAGGAGAGTGCTAGGAAGCATGATCTCCCCTTGGATCGCATGTGTCTATGCTGTGAGGTTACCAAAAAGGATGTGGAGAGCATAACGTGAGTATATAATTTAGTTGATGTGTATATCTAAATAAATAAATAGTAATAGCAGCTTCGGGAAATTTATAAGAGGTCCTACATCAATATATGCAGATATATGAGATGTTTCATAGCCTCCTAACCCGAAACGTAATACTACAGACACTTGCATGTTAGGAATACTGAACATGTGATGACAGTATGAGGGCCATCAATATATGGACCTTTATTTTCTGCGGGAGGTCCATCACCCTCTAGGAACCCATAATGACGGATTACGAGTTTGGTTGGTGACCATCCGACCCCACCTTCATATTTTGTTAGAACCCCGCTGCAGTAGGTGGAATATAACACTATCGTGCCCCACGTTGGGTGCCATTTATTAACACTCCACATTTTGTTAGAAACTCCCCTTAGCACCGGAATAAGTGGTATATAACACAATCGTGCTCCACGTTGGGCGCCATACGTTTTCACCTGTTAGGTGCCTCTTTGTCATTGGCTTTATAATCTCAAATATTTTGTTGGAACCCCACCGCAGTATGTGGTATATGGCACTGTCGTACCAACGTTGGGCGCCATTTGTTAACACTCCATATTTTCTTGGAAAATCCCTGTAGCGCCGCAGTAGGTAGTACAATCTTATAACACGTTCGTGCCCCACGTTGGGCGCGATTTGTCAACATTTCCAGTTAGACGTCGCTAGAGGGGAACTTCAGAGTAGTTTGAGGTTTTGGGTCTATGTTCCTCGTTTTGTTTTTTTTTTTTTTTTTTTTGGCGCCATTTGTTAACACTCTGCATTTTGTTGGAACCCCCGTAGCGCTGCAGTAGGGCAATATCGTATGCCACGTTGGGTGGAAACTGTTACCACTCCATTCTAGGCGGCACTGAAGTGGACCATTCGACCGTTTGCGTCTTGGATCTATGACTGTGGTCTATGCTCCATATATTACAATTCTCTGTCAGGTGGCACTAGGGGGACCTTCCGACTAGTTTGCGGTATTAGGTCCTTGGTTCCCCATCTTAAGGCCATGATGAGCCTTTGGAAATTTTCTTTAAAAAATCCCCACATTAAGGCCCTGATGAGCCTTTGGAAAAATAATTTAAAAAATCCACGCCTTAAGGCCCTGATAAGCCTTTGGAAAAATTCTTTAAAAAAAATCCACGCCTTAAGGCCTGATGAGCTTTTGGAAAAATTCTTTAAAAAAAACACACCTTAAGGCCCTGATGAGCCTTTGGAAAAATTCTTTAAAGAAAATCCACGACTTAAGACCTTGCTAAACCTTTGAAAAAATTCTTTAAAAAAATCCACGCCTTAAAGCTATGCTGAGCCTTTGAAAAAATTCTTTAAAAAATCCACGCCTTAAGGCCTTGATGAGCCTTTGGAAAAAATTCTTTAAAAATCCACGCCTTAAGGCCTTGATGAGCCTTTGGAAGAGTTCTCTACAAAACCACACCTTAAGGCCTTGAGAAGCCTTTGGAAAAGTTCTTGAAAAATCTACGCCGTAATTTCTTAATAAGCCTAGTAAATTTGTAATAGGCTTTTATTCGGACTTCGCCTTACGGTAAATGTTATAAAAAAGGTTCACCTCTTCGAAAACATCGTCATTATTGTGTCACTTTGTCATAATTCGAGATCGATATAGCAGTTGCTTTCAGTTCAGCGCTATTGGCTGCTACCTGCTGAACCTCCATTTAGCATGGTATCCATTAAGTATTCAAGGGTTCGATCCCGCCGAGTCAACGGAGCTCATTTGTCGATGCGACCAAATTTTTTCGACCTGATTTGACATTTATGAGTAAGACCACCTTAGTCTTGGTATAATTCGTATTTAGATTTTTTTCAGGGTCATCGCTCCACACTTTCCCAAAGTTCAGACTAGTTTTAAGGTTATAATTGTGAAGAAACCATGGAAAAGTATAAAGGACCGTTAGCGGAAAGTATTCAATTTGCCAGAGATAGGCCTGAAAGCCCTGTTTAGAACGAAATAATTTTTTTTTTCTTTCGGAAATTCATACTTCAGGAGATATGAGCCTCCAAAGCTCCGCTAGGACCCTACGTTCGATCTTTGTTATTGTATTTAATATTGTATATATGGACAGATGTTGGCATCTCCTTTTAACAAAATAAGTTCTAAATTAATAGACCGAAACGTAGATGATATTAAAAGAATATATCGGAGCATATTAGATGCGCCTTGAAATCGAATTATAAAATTCTACAAAGGCAAAAATCTATGTTTTTATCTAATTAATTTCTTTCCAGATTACCGCCCATGGATGGAGCCTTTGTGCATGGTCTGTATTTGAATGGAGCCAGTTGGGATTGTCAATTGAATTCGATAGTACCGTTAAATCCCAAGGAACTGCTATGTTCCATGCCAGTGATTTGTATTAAAGCCAGTGTACAAGAGAGACATGATACGCATCATGTGTACGAGTGTCCTCTTTACAAGACGAGGTGAGTACGACGATTTTTAAAGAATTTTTTCCAAAGGCTCATCAAGGCCTTAAGGCGTGGATTTTTTAAAGAATTTTTCCAAAGGCTCATCAAGGCCTTAAGGCGTGGATTTTTTTAAAGAATTTTTTCAAAGGCTCAGCATAGCTTTAAGGCGTGGATTTTTTTAAATAAATTTTCCAAAGGTTTAGTGCTGAAATTTATTGAAAAAATTGGCTATTTCGCCTGCCCTGTCGATAAGATATAATAATTTCCCTCATCCTCTCTTTCTTTTCAGATCCCGTGGCAATACCTACGTTTGGACATTTAATTTAAAATCACGTTCACCAAAATCCAAATGGATTTTAGGAGGTGTGGCCCTACTACTACAACCTTAAACAATATCGCACGCAAAACTACTTCTACGCACAGAATTCAACAAAAATAAACTTCTATTCAACACCCACAAAATGTTTTTTGTTAACAACAGCACCGAAGCAAATTTTTAAATGTTATAAATAATAAGTAACGAAAACAAATTAAAAAAAATAAATAAAATTCCATTTTAAAATCAGAACATATGATCATGTGTAGTTTTGTGTTGTCTACGAACGTGTGAGTTTTGTGATTTTTATTTTTTATTATTTACAAATAATATAATCTGTTTCACTTATATATGTTTACAGAGATTTTCATTATCACGGTCGTTAGACAAACAAACAAACCCAACAAAAAATATATAAACACACGATATGAAGAAATGCTATAGGCAAGTCATTCATAATCATGCTCATTTCACGACATTCATTAGCCATGTTCGCTTCTACAGTACATGATCAGATAAATGTGGATAGTTAGATAATAATTGAATAGTAGTGTCAATCAATACGAGGGCAAGCCAATAATTGCATAGCTTCTTAAATAATCAAAATAAAATAATTGGAATTTCTTTGCAAAATAGAATCTTAACGCCTTGTTTGTTCCCAACAATTGCTATAAAAACGCCATCGAGATAGACACTGAGAAAGATAACATGAATTACTTTCTAACGATTTTGTGGATTAAAAAATTCTGACATAAGTTCATTACGAGGGTTGATATATATATTTTTGGCCTAGACAACACTAAATGTTGCGTGACATCATCTGGCATTTCCATTGTAGAATCTTACATATAGTACGGTAAATGTCAAATTCTACAATGGGAATGGCATAGTCTACAATGGACCCAGTATTTAGTATGACCATGAGTTATGCTGTTTCGAAGCAGATGGCTGTCTGTGTCTTGGGTGAAACTGGTCATGTGGTGACTATTAATCATGACCCATTTTTTACGCATTTTCATAATTACGCATTTTCATAATTACGCATTTTCAAAACTACCTCCGTGTCTCAATCCTATACTACAACCTTAACTTTGATCCCAAAATGTTAGCATTCCCGCTCACACAAAACGAATTGTACCATATTTAGTACAATTTAGTGCTTCTCGTATTCATAAGTACGAAATTCCAATACTACCTTAATACTGTAATTGTCATTCCAAATTTAAGTTTATCATCTCTATCCGTTCGAGCACAATAACAAATAAGTACTTGCATCAAATTGAGTACCATTTAGTACTTTTCGTACACATAAGTACGATTTTTTAAAGCTATCTCAATCCTGTACTCCAATAGTAGTCCTAATTCCACTTTTCAGGATTCCATCTCTATACACTCAACTAAATGAAAATAGTACAAATTTAGTACCATTTTGTACTTTTTATACACATAAGTATGAATATCTTAAAACTTTTTCATACATCAACACCAATTCCCAACCTGTACTCCTTATAAAATTTCAAACTTCTAATTTTATATGTGCAATATATATCTACAATTAGATCTAAATTTACTAAAGTTTAGTACTTTTCGTACCCTTTTAGGTCGAATTTTCAAAAGCTCTTTTGTACATCTTTCTAACTTTCCATCAGTGACCGACATTCCAAATTTCAGAATTCTAGCTCTTCCCGTTCGCCCAATGCAAAGGTACCATATTTGGTACATTTTAGTACTTTTCATTCCCTTCTAGTTCGAATTTCCAAAAACCTAGTCTTATCTCACGCCTACACACCAACAACAACCCACACTTAAAACTTCAAGTTTCTAGCTTCAGCAGTTTCGTCTGGGCAATAACCTGTCACTCACTCACTCACTTAACACTCAGATGGCTCACACCGGGCGCTTTTCAGTAAATGTGGGTTGTGCGACCGGCGGAAGAAGTCAGTATTCACGCCACTCGAAGGTCATTGATTCATTGTATAAGAAAGACTCGAATTTCAGATTGAAAAGTAACTATGAGTCTATTTATCGACTTACGATCGAAGTAGATGTCAACCTACTCCACCTTCGAGACCCATTACATTTCTCCGCACGATGACCACAAATAGAAATCTGTATAAACCATATAGCCGGAGACATCGCTCGCTACTAATGTAAAAAACTCGAAGCCAAAACACCTATTGTCACTCATGATGACCAATCCATGACGATACCTATAATCCAGCTGATATTCGAAAAAAAATATTATTAGGCTAGAAACCTATATGAGGCCAAAGACATTTCGGCTGTTTCTATAGACTAATCCACTTCGAGGCCTATCCACACAAATTCGAAATTATAGACCTATCGAAACTCTCTCCATGACCAAAATAACGAGCACTCTTCAAAAGAAAGGGCTGGGTTGTTGGAAATTCGTACTAGAACGGCAAGAAAAGTACTAAATCTGTTACCATTTGTATTTGGCGAACCGGTAGACCTAGAACTCTTAAATTTGAAATGAGGGACACGGGTGGAGTGTAGAATAGATGAAGCAAAGGGTATTTTAAACATTCGTACTATAAGTATTCGAAAATAACTAAAATGTACTAAATTTGGTACAATTTCGTAGCATATAAATGGATACAGCTAAAACTTGAAATTTGGAATGAGAATTAAAGTTGAGAAGTAGGGCCGTTATAAAGAGTTGTTTTTGGAAGTGTGTACTCATGTATACGAAAATTATTAAAAGTGGTACAATTTGAATTTGGAGAAGCGAACGGAGGTGAAATATAAAAGTACCGTCGGAATGTAGGATTAGAAATGTAGGTTTTTGTTTTTTAATTATATGTACAAAAAATACTAAATCGTACTATAATTGATACAATTTTGATTTAGGTAAACCGATAGTCCTGGAATACTGAAATTTGGAAATAAGGTTATTTTTGAAGTATTGGATTGGGGTATGGATGTAGTATTTAATAGTACTAAATTTGGTACAATTTGAATATTTGGTGGAATCCTGACATTTGAAGTTAGGACCATTGTCGGGCATAGGATTGGTGGATATGTTGGAAGTTTTGGAAAATCGTACTATTGTGTACTAAATGATACCAAATTTGGATTTGGGTGAACCGATAGAGCTAGAACACTGAATTTTTGTAAGTAGGGTTACAGTTGGAGTGTAGGGTAGGGTTTTTAACGGATAGGGCTGGAATCCTGAAATTTTGGAGTTAGGATCACTGTTGAGGTGTAAAATTGGGCTATGTAAGAATTTTGGAAATGCATACTAAAAGGTACTTAATTTGGATTTAGGTGAATCGTTGGAGCTGAAACACTGAAATTTGAAAATAATATTATTGTTGGAGTGTAGGATTGGGAGAATAATTGCAGTTTTGAAAAAAAAAGAGGTGGAATAGTAAAAAATTGAAATTTAAATTACCATTGGAGTGGAGTTAATTATGTGAATTCGTACATATGAGTACTAAATGTTACTAAATTTGGTAAAATTTGAATTTTGGGAGAACCGATAGAGCTGGAATTTGGAGTTAGGATTCCTGTTGGGAAATAGGATTGGGATATAGGTAGTTTTGGAAATTTGTACTTATGTGTACATAAAGTACTAAATTTGATATAATTAGGATTTAGGTGAACCGATAAAGCTGGAATACTAAATATTTGGAATTAATATTACAGTTGGAGTGTGGAATTGAAGTATGTTAATAATTTTGAAATTTCGTACTTATGTGTACAAAATAGTACTAAATTTGGTACAATTTGGATTTAGGGTAAACCGATAGGTCTGGAATCCTGAAATTGGGAAATACAATTTCTATTGGATTGTAGGTAGTAATAGAAATTTGCTAAACTAACTAAATTTGGATTTGGGTTAATCTATATTTGAAATTTGGATAATAAATAGGCTAGGACCTTGAACGTACCGAAAATTACGTGTGGTCTTTGTATGGGGTCTATGTAGAAACATGGATTTATATTGAAAGTGTTCTGTGAATAAGTTTATTACCCACTAATATCCCAAAACATCAAATTTAAGCCACTTGTTGATTTAAAAATGTAGTCACCTTTATCTGGAGCATATAAATAAGGAGCAGGGATGCACAGTCAAATTGCTTGTAGGCTATCGACCAGCCCTACTAAGCTATCGAACAGCCCTAATAATACTTTCGAACAGCATTCTCTAGTCTTTCTTATAAAATAATGAATCCTTAGGCCCCTCTAGTATACCCAATCAAATTACATTTGCCTTTTGATGTCTCATTAACGATACAGAACAAAAAAAGACATTTAATTCAACATTTATTTTCATGAATGGACGGCATGCCACAAATTCCAATATTTTTCTCATGATGCCACACAGGCACACTTTTGAAAAATCCCCACTTGAAAAGCCACATAAAAAACACAGACTTTGACCTCAGGAAAATGGTACTCATTCTATGGCCAAGACACTGTGTCGGTATTATAATCATTTTTTTTTTTATTTTTTCTTAGCTATATTTTCAAAAAGAAATGAAATGAAAAAATATCGAAACTATTTTGTCTTAGCCACAAGAGCAATGCCACAAAAATATATATAGGCGATTGGTTGGTTGCTTGCTTGGTCATACATAGAAACTGACTTAATGGCTCGCTATCTGTCTAACCGTCTGGCAGGCATATGACAAAATGACAAATAAATATTTTTGCCTCTGTTTTTTTTCATAGGACTTGAAAATAATTATTACTATACGATGCGCATCATTAATGCTAGACAGCGAGGGGGGTGAGTGGGAGTGCGTTGAGAGGGTTGGTTTGGATTAGATTTGTTCGTTGGTTGTTTAGTTGTGTGACTATGTGTGGTTGTGGTTGTTAGCTGGTGGCAATGCTGTTATAGTTTAGCTTATGAATATAGCTGTGTGTCTGTGTTTACTTGTTTTTTTTTTTCGATTCGAAACAGAACGGGAGAAGAATTTCATTTGCCCAGACATCGTCAAGACGTTAAGACCTCAACCGACACTGTGATTTGAAAAACCAAATAAAAAAACACAATCGTTATATTTATTTTTACGAAAAAATACAACAACAACAAGAATTCATATATCTATACTTCACAAG